CAACACATTTATAAAAATATAAAAAGGTTTGACATTTACTAGAAATAGTAGCTGAATTCCCGCCTAAATAAATTGGTTTTACTATTATTAGTAAATTATTTGAAATTGAGCAGTATTTTTTTGCAAATTCGAATTTCAAAAGTCCAATTAAAATCTGTATAACATAGATTTGGTGATAAATTGCGGTGGGCAGATATTACAAACGAATAAAAAAAAAGCAAGAAAATCTTACCAAAATGCAATCAGTCAACAAATGCGGCAAATTCAATCCGAAAAGGAAAAAAAATAAAATAAGATTTTAATAAAAAATCAATACGATAGAAAATACAATCGGTCAAAGATTTCGGCTAAATTAATATGATCGACTCAAAGAAAATCTCTTCCATGATCTCCAAATTTTCTTTGCATAATTTGTAAAATCAAATCACAATTATATCCTACNCAATTAATTGCTACATGATTTATTAGAAAATATTTTAATTAACTACAATTTTTGAAACAAACATTCGAAATTGTTTATAGTATTAATTCACAATTCAATCTAAGAATATTTATTACAAAATACCTTAATTAATGAGTGAGTTTTTTATGTTCAAGTATTTACAAAATATTTAAAAGTTAGATTACACACACATTTAAAAAACGTGGCTATATTTTTTACATCAATATATATAAAAATTATAAAACGTGTGTATTAAGAGTTATACATATATAAAAAATTAATGTGCAAATCAACATTATCCCTAAATCTTAATAAATCGTGGTATTGAAGGAAACATAATCAACAAGTTGAAAGAATTAATTCCGCGAACAATACAACGATAAATCTAATTCTATGAAACGGACAGTTGAAAGAATCAATGAAATATTGTGTTAAATTGGAGCAAATTGTACGTTGATGCTGTTTACTAAAATATAATTGTCTTATTATTCCTTTCTTAAGATATTTTCATATCACTTAGTTTCATATCACTTAGTTATAGAATTAAATTGAAATAACATTTGGTCTTCTCCTATAAATTCGTTGAGCATTGATGTCTATTACCCATCGTTTTCAAAAGTTTTGCTATTTAGTATACAAATTAGTTTAGTATGATGAGGTGCAAATTTGGTTTCATCCAAGATGTTACGAGAACAAAAAAACTACCAATGAAGCTCGTGTTATTAGAATTATTTCACACAAATTGAGGCTGAGTATAAGAGCTACGTGGAAATTCATTTCCACGATGAAAAGGTTGTATCGATTTAATTCCTATTTATTTATGTAGATCTATATTACTCTGTGCAATTAAATAATTCATGTACTTATGCTTAATTTACTTTTTTTTTATAGGGACATTGTATAACTGTCATCCTACGAGCTGCTCATATGAAGAAATGGATCGACAAAATCAAGGAAGGAGAAGTTTATGGAATTAACAATACCAGGTGGAGAACAACTTGGGTTCATTCCGATTCACAGTTGGTGAATTTGAAATTGTTGTCCATGGTATGACAAGTTTTGTTAGGTTCAAATATGACTTCCCGAATTTTCGATTTGATTTTAGAAGCTTTGGTACTCTCAGTTTTGGTGTTCGTCGGGGTCAAACTGTGATCTTTGATAATCACTAATTCTATCAATTATTATTTAGCTTTTTAGTACGAATACTTATATATATTTAATTAAATTAAATAATAATTTCATTCTTTTTTTAATAGATGTAATTAGTCTGGTGGTTGAAACTGGAGCCGTTCAAATGAAAGAAGGTCGACAGCGTTCCAACAAAAATGATTGTATTTTCTCTTATGGATCTTGAATAAGATTTTTTTTATTGAACTATTTTTGTTTATTGTTAAAATCGAGTCCATCATTTATTTAAATATTTGTTTGGGAGGAACACGATTGATTGCACAGTTTGGGGTGATTTCGTTGATCGACTTTTAGATATTGAAAATGAATATGGCAATGATCGTCAACCGCATGTACTAATTATGCATCTTTGTCGAAATAAGCCTTGGGCAGGTATTTTTTTCAATACATAAATTCATACATTTTTTTTTTTTTGTAAAATTTTAATTCAAGTGTATCACTTTATTTTATTTTAGCACATATAGATTATGCTTCGGTTTCTTAACCTTTAATTTAATTTTCGTTAATTATTTTCTGTAAATATCTTCGTTACAAATATTATTTTATTTTAAAAAGTTATTTAAATATACACGAATTTTTATATATTATTTTCTACAATATATTTAAATGTTATTTATTAAACATTAAAATTATTTTCGTAAAAATAAGTTAATAAATTATTTAATTTAATTTTACACGTGATTTTATATAATATATTGTAATATTTCAGAAAAAATTCAAATAACTACTTCAAAGAAAGTTACGAAACTACTGGCTGGACATGGCCTTCCCGAGATTCGAGATTTCATTTGGAGGTTAGCCATCAAATATTAAACTTTTGAATTTTCACTAATTAATTTTATATGATACTCATATATTACAAATTGAATCATATATGTTGTGTAGGTTGTGAGATGAAGTTGACGATTTGAAAATTGGAAATGTAGCCGTCACTTCTGTTGATTCTCTTTACTAGATTGGAGAGGTACATTTTTTTTTATGTTTAAGTATCTTATATTATGCAAGTTAAATATAAACTATTAAGTATTTGGATATATAACATATTTTTGTTTTAATAATTATTATAGACTCCTAGAATTTAGGTGTGCGTAATGATTGAGTATGTGATAGATGACTGGTGCTATCTAGCATGTCGAAAGTGCAATGACAAAATAGAATATGATGATAAAGTTGTGTGTACCAAATGCAAGCAATAGTTGGAGTTTATCGGTAATAATTATTTGCTTGATTCTATTATTTGATTTGTTTTGTACTTAATTCAAACTGATTACTAAATTTTTAAAACAATATTTTTTTTGAATAAAATGTTATAGGATTCGTTTTGGTATTCGTGATGATACTGCAAACGCAACATTAATTTTATGGGACCGAGAGTGCGAATGAATCATTGGTAGGCCGTGTCATTTGTTGAAGAGCGCCTTTGTTGAGCAGATGAAATACTTCATATTAATTTAATCGCTTAATTAAATTCATATAATTTAACATGAAATATATTTATTTTTTTTATTTTGTAAAATGCAGAACCCCATGAGCTTTGAATTGCCAGAGGAAGTGGTTAATTTGGTCGACAAAACTATGTTTTTCAAAGTCAAGATACAACCCGATAAGCCTGGTACGTATAGAGCGTCCATCTCTGTTGTTTGGGTTGTGATTGATGATTCTTTGGTGTCCAAGTACAAGCTTGGGACGTTCAAAAGGAGGTGCATTTATCAACTTATCACACCTAAATATGATTTAAATTTTTTTAATGCATTTCGAATATACATACTAATTTTTTTTATTAGGAATCTGATTTCACGACACTATTGCTTAGGGAAGGTGCCAATAATGGAGTGGTAATATATTTTTTAATTTATTTATCTTTTACTTCATTTTAATTTTATATGATATGACTGTAATGATATAGTATTTTATTTGTAGGATGCGGCTATTGAGGATGAAATAACGAGTCCCATGAAGGTTGTTCAACAAGTTGAACTTGTTGGTGAATCATCAAGCGTCAAACGTAATCTTTGGGAGGAGTTGAATGCAGAAGTTGAAACTGTTATTTTTGCCGAGTCCACGACCATTAACAAGGAGAAATCTAAAGTTTTTTATGAGTGATGAGGGAATGTTGGCACATTATTACGATAGCTATCTATATGTTTTTTATTTGTTAGGGAAAGTAGTTAATTATGGGTTTTTTCAATCTTCGTTGTTTAAGATTATATAAATAAAATAAATGGGAGCATTTAGCTTTCATTTTTTATAATAGATTTCTATTGTTCCATCGATTTGTCTTTTTATTATATTATATTATTTGCTTCGTTATCCATTAAGTGCAATTAAATAAATAACTATGTTTGTCAAAATATTAAATCATGTACAAGTTTACGTGAATCGTACATCTGGTTATAATTTTATATAATCTATACTTATATTAAAAGGGGTATTATTTACCAAATTAAGTAGCCAGAAAAGTCAACAGCATTTATTGCATTATTATTTCCGTATTATACTATATAAAATGATATTCTATTTACTACATTTACTATCCAGAAAAGTCAACTACATTAAATGTCAGTACTATTTTGGTATTATAATATTTTATTTATTTAATTGATTTATTTATTTTTAAAAAGGTAAGTATAATAAAAAGATTTTAATAATAAAACAATCAAATACCAAATAAAAATGTACACTTTGACTTATTTGATTATATTTGGTATTTGATTATACCAAATATATTCCTATTTAGTATATACATTAAATACTTACTAAAGTATTTATTTGTTTTATTTGTCAAAGTTAAGTATAGATTTGTTTATATTATCAAATTATAAAAAAA